CTCTGAAGGTGGTTGTGGATAACTCAGTTTCAACTTCTTAAAGGTTTAAGGGAGATGAGTCAGAGATGTTATTTCTATTTGGTAAGTCCAGACTTGTTTCTACTCAAGGAGCTCTAAACTGCTGACGTTATGAGTTTTGCAAGAGCCATGGGTTTTACAGTTAGCATACATAAAAATCTTTGGGTAGAATATGGTAGACCATGTTTCTTAACCACTGGAACATATAACACTAATGGTACAGAAGTGGTCCAACAACTCCATACCCAAATCATAAAAGAACTCATGACAGAAGAATAGAAGAAAAGAGATGTCCAACATGTCTGCACTATGAACATTATGAAAAAGAGGAAGGGAAGTTATTTGGCAATACAATGTTTATAACAAAAATATTCAAAATAATTCTATATCTTCTTATATTTGCATACTCCAGAATTCCAGACATATAAAAGTATAGGAAATCATCTTTGTCCTTTGAAATAGAGAATTCCTGGCAGACATTATTCAATTAATTGATCTATACAGAAGTACTGCTTACACCATCTTATTTGGTAACCCAACTATGCCTCTGACAGTTCCATTTATTTACTAATTGCTTTATAAGTGGAGTGTGAAAAGAACAAGTGCAAAAGCATAGAGGAAGAGTATTCAATAATTTAGACAAATGTTAGTAAAGTTCAGTCAAGTTGAGGTATTAAGGCAGTAGGGAGTGTATAAAGATACCTTTAGAATGTGGAAAAGATTGGAGGTATGTGCAGGAACAGCAATCTGTGAGGAGTTGGAGGCCACAGCTCTACCTCTCAATTTTTTGCAGTGCTAAAGGAAGGCTTTAATTATATTAAAAGGGATGGGATTAACATTTTGGACCATTTCTGAAACTTTTTTTCACATATGGAGAATGAAGAGAGAGAATGGCAGCAGAAGGCCTTTGGGGAGACAAATCTCTTCTACAGGTAGTCCTCGTCTTATTACCACAATTGAGACTAGCACTGCCATCGCTAAGTGTTGTGGTCATTAAGTGAGTCACACCCAATTTTATGACTTTTGCCACAGTCGTTAAGAAAATGACTGCAGTCATTAAGTGAACCACAGAGTTGTTAAGCGAATCTGGCTTCCCCCATTGACTTTGCTTGTCGGAAGCTGGCTGGGAAGGTCACAAATGGTGATCAGGTGACCCTGGGACACTGCAAGCATTGTAAATACATGCCAGTTACCAAGCGCCTGAATTTTGATCATGTGACTGCAGGGACGCTCCAATGGTCATAAGTGTGAGGACTGATCATAAGTCAATTTTTTCAGCACTGTCCTAACTTCAAACAGTCATGAAATGAATGGTTGTAAGTTGTGGACTACCTGTATACCCATCTTTAGCCATCCTCCCCTCAGTACCAGAAATGCCTAAGTTTAGGGAAAAAATGTGCTGCTGAAAATAGGCTTTTCTGCCACCAAACTTTAGTGGCTCAATATCAGGATGCTGCAGGGGGATCTTTGGAGCCCCACATGAGGCTTCTGGAGGGACTCGCATCGCTTGCAAGCTATCAGAAGCCCATTTCTGGTGTAATGGCTTGCTCCTAGTTATGCAATTTTCCCTTGCCTTACAAAAACTGCATGTAAATCAGAATTCTAGGTCTCTGGAACAAGAGATGAAATGTCAAATTATTTACAGTCAGAGATAAGCAATAGATGCAACCAGATAAAATCAAACAGTTAAAAGAAAAGGAAAGAGAAAGAATTGTCACGTTATGTTTGGTGTTAGTTGCTCCTTGTTTTAATTGCTGCAGCAATACATTTGGCTAAGGTTAGGTGGTTCCACAGTTTGAGTCTGAGAATAAAAGGTGGATTTAAAAACCACCTGTTTGCTCAGGTACACTTAATGAAAGAGGGGTTATGATGTCCTTTCGTAGTTCCTTATAAATGTGACAATTAAAAAGCACATGTTGAACTGTCACAGTTTCCCCCAGGTCACAAGGAAAAATGGCCTGAGAAAGGGGAATATTGGCATACTTGCCAGATAACAGCACAGATGGAAAAATGTTATGCCTGGCCCTGAAAAAAAATCCTCAGATTAGAGCAGTGTTTCTCAACCTTGGCTACTTTAAGATGTGCGGACTTCAACTCCCAGAATTCCCCAGCCAGCATCTTAAAGTTAAGTCTGCACATCTTAAAGTTGCCAAGGTTGAGAAACACTGAGCTGGAGTGTTTATTAATATCTTGCCAGTTCCTAGGAGCCTAAGTCTAGCACATGTTTGGGGCTCTGACAGTGTGAGCTGACTTCAGACTCGGCATTTGTAATACCAACTTTTTAGCCTGAATAAAGTCCAAAATGAATAAGGAATCTGCAGGCACTCCAGATGTTCTTAATTTCTGCTTGGCCACCTTTGTCCAGGGTGAGAGAGAATTGTCCGCTAAGACTAGCACAAGCTTTTTCCTACTACCTGAAGGAAAAAAAAAACTGATGTTTAACCAGAATGCCTCTGATATTCTCCACACTCTGTATTCCATTTTGGGCCACCCAGACTCAAGCCTGCATACTGCATTGGTGGTAGTAAAAAATAAATAAAGACCTTAAAATTTTGGTTTGTATTGTCTCTAGGATATTTTTCTTCATGTATAGGCCAACCTAGGCTGCATAAAGGATTTGAGTAAATGTTTTAGCTTCAAAAAGCTTTAATACAGAGGTAATAATTCACCCCCTTTGGAGTAAAAAAAAAACCTTTTGATAGTCTGTGTAGATCTTGATGCTAGTTGCTTAATATATTCATGATGGGCTTTACAGGGCAGGTGCAGAGGACCCTGGAGGAAGCAGACTATCTAGACCTGTTTCAGTTGAATTTAAGGTCAGGGTCCAGTATGGAGACAGACTTGGTTGCTTATTGATGACCTGTGGTGGAGCCAGGATGGAAGTAGAGCATCCATCCTTGTGCTTCTTGATTTCTCAGCAGCTTTTGATACTGTCAAACATGATTTCCTTCTGATTTCCTTCTGGACCAGTTCCAGGGGTTGGAGATTGTGGGCCCTGTATTATGGTGGTTCTCTTTCTTCTTTCAAAACTGGTTCCAGTCAGTGTGTGGGTATGGGTGCCACAGGATTTGACACCTTCTGCCCTCTTAGTTCAACTTATACATGAAACTTCTTGATGAGGTCATCTACCAGTTTTGGGTCCAGTATCATCAGTATGCTGATGATAGCCAATTATATTTTTTGACCCCAGGCAGGCCAAGGGAAGTTGTTGAAACCCAGTCACAGTGCCTGGAGACTGTGCGGACCTGGATGGGGAGAAACTGACTCCATGGTTGTTGGATTTGAGAAGGTCTGGACATCTTCCAACCTTATTCCCATACAGGGTTGCACTCACCCATTCAGGAGTAGTGTGCAATCAGTGGATCCTCTTGGACTCACAGATCCTGCTTGAAGAGCAGGTGGCAGCTGTAAGCAAGAGGGTCTTTCCACCACTTCATGTAATACACCAGTTGCACCCTTCCTGGATCAGGCAACCCTCAGTCACTCATGCCCTTGTCACCTCACAGCACAACTATTGCATTGTGGTCTATATGGGATTGAAGATCACTTGAAAACTTCAAATGATCTAAAATACAGCAGTGCAAGCAGTGGTGGGCCTGCCTCAGCATGCTCACATTGCACTTCTGCTTCATGCACTGCACTGGCTGCCAGTATGCTCCTGGGTGTGATTCAAGATATCACAAGTTATCACCAAGAAAGCCCTACATCACATGGAGTCCAATTATTTGAGGGACCACCCATCTCCTGTTGGTTTTCTCTGGCCAGGAAGAACCAACAGAGCATACTCCAGGTCCTCTCAATTAAAATGCATCATCTTTCAGGATGTAGGAAGTGCACTTTCTTGGTCACAGTACCTACCCTCTGGAATTAGATCCTCTCTAAGAACTGGATGGTGTTCTGGAAGGCCTCAAATACCTTGACTAATTGCCTATCGCATAATGAAACATTTCTTGTAGTTCCTAAAAGATTATGTTTGCTTCAGAGGTTCTGAGAAATCAAAAGCAATTGTATTAATCGGTGAAACATGAATCTTGATGTTCTTTTGTAGGGTCTTTCCTTACTTCTGAATTAAACTATTATCCATCCACTCTTGAGTCAGCAGAAAACTATAACAACATGCATCTGTTTCAAGTTATTGATGTCCCCTGACTTTCTATAAAGTAATGGATGACAAAGCCTAATAGATTTCATATACCTTTACCCTTGAATAGTGCCAAAATAAAGAGAAATATTTTAACACTGGTAAAGCAAAAGACTTTAAAACTGTTTCATTCATGTGCTGGTGATGAAATGAAGACAACATCATGGTATATAGCAGAAAAAAGATGCTGCCAAGATATGTTTGTGCCATGGTCAAGTAATGTTCAATATTTCTTAGGATTGATGAATTCATTCTCCTAATTCCTTATCTCTATTCTCGACTTTAGCTATATCTTTCAATATCTTTATAAGGCTTTATAAGGATTATAAGGCCGGGTTATTGAATGGGTTTATAATACCCATTCAAATATTTATTAAAATCTTCCTTTTATGATGTGTTCACTGGACATAAATACAAACAAGATATGGACTTAGCATTTATTTTTATGTACTTAAGAGTTATCCTTGCAAACCTGTGTATAGGGAAGTCAGTGCCATTGAACAGAATGAGGCTTCTACTCACGGAAGGGGTTGATCAGTAAATGTCTGGTTTCTCAGCTATTTAAAATGCACCTAACTTACTCTGAACAATATCCATTATCTCTTCCATCAGCTTATGCTAGAATGCAAAATAAATGTGTCTGGGGTGTTATTAATTTATTAATTCTATACTATTTAATGGGAATGCTCAGTATTATTAATATTTTAAAAGGCTCTAAGTAATCATCTGTGTGATTATGAAGCCTGGATAATACATCACAAACCACATGAAAAAATGTCCTTGGACGATTTTCATATCACTGTGCTTTCAAACTTGTAGAAACAGGTATGCAGTATAGAGTAAACAGTGTTGCCAATTCTTTAATATTATCAATGGCATACAATGCATAATGCTTAGAAACTAGATTTATTTGTAAATGTATTTGTCCAGTTAATTTTAAGTAGGAAAAACACCACAATCATCTAACAACAGTAGCTGAAAAATTCATAATTATGCTATCATCTTGATTGCATTCCATAATATATTTCCACACAAATAAGATTTAAGGTTGAAATAAGGGAGACATAAAGCACAGTTACTTATAAACTACATGTACACTATTTTAAAGGCTGAGTCAGTAATATGAATTCCTCTTCAGTATGTATGGTCGTCGGGCTTTGTTAACATGCAACTGTCGTTTCAGAATGTATGGAGTTTTTCTCTTCATCAGATCTTTATCTTGACTTGCATTTTCTGGATCGTAAATATCTTGTTGGAGCAACTGCTGGCAATAAGGAGAGAATATAGAATCACTATTTCCCATGGAACAATTTTTCTGTGAGGAATGTGTCCAATTTTTCCTGAATTCTGCTACTTAGCAGAAATAAGGATGAATATAGCACAATTAATTAATTTTAAAAATAATAACACAACAGGCAAGGCTTATATAGATGAAGAATATGTTTCAGTGTGATGCCCAGCAGAATTAAGCTAATTTCAGCCATTCACTGTTTGCTAAAAGGGAAAGAAAGGAAGAGGAAAAAAGGAATGCATTTTTTTCTTAAAAGGTTGTTTTTCCTTTCATATCTGCCTCTGTATTTTTACTTTTTTATTAATGCAATGCTTTGCATTGGGTTTTCAGTTGTAGTGGGTAGCGCACTGGCACTAGAAGGGCAGGTCACATATTTCCATACAAATAAAATAAATACTTTATTTTACACTCTTAATGGCAGGTTTTCTGAAGCCTTGCTTCACAGGCTGATGACTCTACTCAAGTGGTCCAAAGAGGTTCTGTAGCTTTAGTTTAAAATGAAGTCCCATTAATTTGTCCTACTAATTTAGCAATAAAACTGTGAATATCCTCTAAGAATAAATATATCAGACTGTCTGTGCTTGCTAAAATGATGGAAAATTTCATTAGTAACTTGCTAAGAGTCATTATCTTCCATCATTTCAATGGAAATAATTAACTACATGTACAGCATGAATCAAAAGGTTCTTCTAATACAAGCAACGTAAAGCAAAATTAGGGTGCTAATTGTTAATATTACCTCCCACTGCTGAAAATTTCTGGTGTGGCAGACTTTTTGAAGCTGATACAATGTCAACATTGCTTCCAAAGTGAAGCCCTCAGAAGTAGTAGGAAATTGTCTTCTCATCATAAAATCTTCTTCAGGGTCACCTGTCTCTTCTTCTGGATTGTTCAGGTTGCTTATGAAGTCACAAATATTCCAAAGTGTTAGTTTCCATTGGGGGGACTTGGCTTTGTTTATCTGAAAAAGGCAAAATCCAATGTGTAAACTATTTGTCCTTCTATCAGGAAAAAGATATAGGAGGGGTGAGAGGGAGTTATAATTGAACTTCTATTATTTATTTTCAGAATCAAGTCACCATTTTGACATGGAAGAACCACATACATACACTGAGGAGCAGGAAACCATTCTACCGTAAGCCAAACAATGTATGCTCCAAGTAAATAACAGTCAGAGTATATTAGGTATATTCTCTGCAAAGCAGCCTATCTTTGCCTATTCAGATTATTAGAGATTCCCTCCCTACTGGAAAAGAAAGTGTGACAGTCGACAATTCAGAAACAGAATTATTGTGGTGATCTCTGAACTTCTGTATCTAATCTATATCTGTATCTAAATTTGATTTAGATTTCAATGTGATAATGCAAGTATTCAAACTAAAGCTGAGGAAAAATGTACTATGTTTTACATTTTGTATGTTCTAGTACATGCTGATGATGTAATGAACATGTACAAGAGTTTAGGAGCCACCAATAAACCAGTGCCTAAGTAGACTGTAGCAATAACCTTCTGAACAGATGAATCCACAAGAGAAACAAAATTGTGGCAAGAACGGCAATAGACAGTATGTAGAACTGCAGTTTTCTTGTAAATAAAGCTTCCTAGAATTTAAAGCATTCTTTCTGAGGACCATTGGACCACTTTATCCCCATGCAGGTAGCAAGCATGCAATAATATAAAAAATCAAGGTCTGCCACTATTTGGAGTGGGCTGTTAACTCTATATACTGTGAAGACTCTACTTAATATGTAAAAGAAGAATTCAGTTTGAACTATGGGAATTGCTGTCCTTTCCTCAGTGACTCTGAAGTGAAAGAATCAGTGGTCTTATTGCTGTCATTCAGACAGCAAATCAGAAGCTATTGTCCATATGTAATAACATTCTCCAACATGGGGTCCTCCAAATGTGTAGAAATTATGCTGCATTTGATTTGTCCTGCTTTTTCCTTTCCCATGAAAGCAGCTTTTTCTCCTTCACTTCAGAATTTAATTCAAATTTTTCTAGATGGCCTTTTGAGCTTATTTGAAACGGCACATAATACTACTGCTAATATTATGTCTATGCCTATGTCTGTATTTTCAGCCAGATCGATCCACTGCAGAATTAAGGCTTCTTCATAGAGGGTGTGAATATGTTTTTACACTATAGCCCTAGTGTGGCATCTTAACCACTATACTACAGTGGCTGTCATCTGTCTGTCTGTCTATCTCTCCCTCTCTCTCAAACAGTCTTCCATCTCTCTGTTGCCATGTTGCAGTTAACAATTTCCAAACAGAAAAAGCCCTGTGGAAGGTGTTCCTTTATGACATTTTTTCCATGGGATTTGAATTAAGCTTGAAAAAATAGGAAGTATGCAGACCACTGGCAAGATCAGTGTAAAATGAAAGAATATTTATAGACACACTAGTCAGTCACCAAGCTCATTGAAGTACTCAACTTCATGCACTGAAATTATCTTCTTCAAAAGAATTTGCATTCATTCAAACTGAATGAAAACTGATAGAAAAAAAATACATAAAAATATTTGTACAGAACTAATTGGAATACATTTCCCCAGACTCCAAGATCTGACTAGGAACATAACTGGAACTATTGTTCAAGCCATGTCTGGTATATAAAAACTACATTCTCCTTGATTCTAAGAGACATACCTAAGCTTTGGTAGTTCTAAATTCTGGCATTCTGATGATGCAATTAGGACCAAGTCCTATGCACAATTAATTAAGACTTCAGGTAATTAATAATGAATAAAGCTGCAACTAAGGAAATTAATTAATTATGAAAGAAAATTAGTAGGTTTCTTCCATTCCTAGCTAATATATCTTCATCCACACCCTCTCCAGTGCAAGGGACGACTTCTGCAAGATACATAATACAAAAGATAAATTCAGCTATATTTCTACACGAGTATGGCTTGTTTGCTTGTTTTTATACAAAATGGTGTTCATGCTATGTCATTAAAAAGTAATATAGTCTTGTCTTTCCAACAGAATAATAAGCTAAAATATAAAAATCTGATCCCCATAGCTGCTTAGCTCTAAACCAGCTCTAAACCCTTCTGGAAAACTGTTTTATTACCTGGGATAGATTTGGGCATTGAAGAAATCCATATAAAGTAGATTATCTAAGTGCCTAAATATGTATATGTTTTCCAGAATAAATACAATTCAGTGAATCCAAAACTTAATTTTAGAAGGTTAGAACTTTGTTTCCATTTTGAGTTGTTTCTTGGACTTGTCTGTTATTGCAGTACATAATTTAATTAGGGTGTCAACTAGCCTGCTAGGCAGGGACAGATTTGCATAACAATGTTTTGAAATGTCTTTCTTGATGATAGAAAATTGGCACAATATAGCTGAAGAGTTTGAATATGTCTCTCCTGCAATTTCAAAGCAGGACATTATATAATTAAATATTTCTGATGATCAAAAAAACCTAAGATGCCTTTTTTTCATAATAAAGTAGGATTGCTCTTGATACAATGTGGGAAACATGAACTCATTGTGATTAATTTGAACATTTTAATTATTCAGCAGGTGTATTCTTGTCTATTGGCATGGACCCTAACCCTCTGTTCCAACCCTTTCTTGTGAGGGGATGATGAGCCAATTTCTTTTCTTTTTCTTTTTTCTTTTTTCTTTTTTCTTTTTTCTTTTTTCTTTTTTCTTTTTTCTTTCTTTTTCTTTTCTTTTCTTTTTTTTTTCCCCCCTGGAGGAACATTGGCACTGGGAAGCCACATTAGTCATTTGTATGCAAAAAGCCTCCAAGAGTATTTCACTCTTTCTTAATACGATGTCTGCCTCTTTCTTGTTCATCCTCCTTGAATCCACAGTGTATTGAATATACAAATGTTGTATTGGTTTAATCACTATAATTACTTACATCTGAATTGGTCTTTTGCAGCATTCAGATCATGAATAAAGGGCCTATGACTCTCTCCAGCTTTGCCATTTTGTAAATCTCATAATTTTGCAAACTCCCTATATGGCACTGAGGGAAGGTCCCACACTCAAATGAATCTAAGGCAGTCCTCCTGTGGGATTGACTAGCAAAACTTGACCTGGGTACAATACATCTAATTTCTCATCTACATGCATTTTCTCTATGGTAAGCTTTTTATGGATCAGGCTGCAAGTCAAATTGACAACATTATTACAAGTGTAGACTAGGAAAAGACTGGTACTGAACTCACAGTATTTTGAATATTCAATCCCTTTAATATACATAAAAGCTATAACATTACAGACATACAATATATTACTAGACATCAATAATAGGACCTTAGAATGAAGCTCTGTCATTGGACACAGCAGAAATCAGCAACCTTTTCAGTGGCAGCAACTATTGTGAGATTGTGTGGAATATAATAAGGACCCTTCCAATTAAAAACTATCTTTAAAAATATTTTTTTTAAAAAGCAGATAAAAAATGTAAAATAAAATACATTTGAAATGGCTGAAATATCCTAATATCCCATTTAAGAACAAAGAAACCTTAACAGATTTGGCTATTTTTGGAAGTTCTACCATGTTTTAATTGTAATCAGCAGGTTGACCCATTGCTGACTCTTCCTCTTGAAGCTTCGATCTTCCAGACCTGTCTAGCCAATTGCTCTGTATACTTTCTTGCTCCTCCTTTATATTCTGAAAGGGATAAGACAGTTCTGCCTAGTGTCCTACTTCTTTCCAGATTATGGTGGAAGAAATTACTCTCCTATATGCAAAAGATGAACAAAGCCTGTTTTAGCTCTCTATAGCAGTAGGCCTTTCAATCGCTTCTTAAGTTCTTCTGACTGTTGTCTTGTATATGCTGTTTGTTTTTGTTTTTTGTTTTCCTGAAAAGAATGAACAGTTATAATCCAGGCATTATAATGATGACTGAAGTAGTGGATAATGTTTGCAAATGCTAAAGGAGTAAGTTTAGATTGCATTTAATAGAATAATTCCCTTGCCACTAATCAGAAGTCAAGGTCTTTTCAATGTATCACTGTTTATCACAAGAATTGCAGGAAATGGCCGGGAAAATAAACTTCTTAATATCTTCCACAAACAACTCCCACCTGGGACTCAAATTGCTCTCTCCTAAGCTATTTGGTTTTAACTCCCACCACCACCATTACCACTTCTTTGCCCATGGATCCAATGACACAATTATTGAAAGGAAAATTGCACAGCATTTCCTCTGACCTAGGGTCACCTGCACCAAAAAAACCCTTCTGGAGTTTCAGGATTAGGGGCTATAGAACAATGTTGGGTGTGCTGTGGGAACTGACAGGGGGTAAATCATGGTCTTCCCTGCTATAGTGCAGTGAAGTGCTTAAGGTGCTATATTAGGAGCACGGAGACCCAGGTCCTAGTTCATCGTCAGCCACAGACGCTCACTTGTCTCTGGCCAGTCACTCTCTCTCAGCCCAACCTATCTCACAGGGTTGTTTGTGAGGGGGGAAATAGGAGAAAAACACATTATAACTACCTTGAGCTTCTGAAAGAATCTGACAAATAAACTTGCTCAAATGTGGCAGAAGTCTGATACTCAACACAGCTCAATTTAAGAAAAATATTTAAAAGCAGAATGAAGTCATATGAAATAATTAATTGTTCCATCTAAGTGAAGGTACAATCACTTGTTATGGCCATGGCCATTGCAATTTCTTCCCACTTCCCACTTTTCCCATGTTTCTTTGGACTTTCTTTTTTCTTAAAAAAAATTCCTAAATGCCCTTGAAGCTCAATGGTTATTGCTTGTTGATCAACATCTTTCCCTGAGACCTGTTGGCTATCAGTTCATCACAGAAGAATTGCTGGAGAGGTCAGGATTTTTTTTTTTCCTGAGATCTTAAATCCAAGCCTGAGTTTTCATTGTCTCCCTTGGCCACCACAACCTGATTCATCTTCCTTCCTCTTTTCCAATGCTCCCTCCCCTCAACAGAGAAGCTTTAGCAGATGTCAGGTGGCTACAGA